TTGCACTTAAAAAAATAAATCAGAAAATAATATGGCTTCAAGTGGACAAATAAATACAAAATTTTGAGGAAGTCTTGGCATTATCTATTGCTTTCCTCTTGATTTGGCTCCAAGGATAATTTTTCCCCAAGTTTTCTAATAAGTTCTGCTAGGTCTTCCATATTCTGAGATTTTTCTTCAAGGAGTTCATAACGGAGACTTGAGATGTCCTGCTTAATTTCCTTCAGTTCCCCTGAAATGTGAGTGGTAAGAAGTTAACTATAAATATGTAACACAGGGAAACCGGTGATTCAATGCTGGGACAGGATAAAGCCAGTCACAATTTTACATACATCTTCATTTTGAATCTTTTCAAAAGAAGTATTTCCTAATGGAGCACCAGGTTTCTACTATCTCAGATAAGTCCTCCCAGGGCAAGTTCAAAGGAAATGGTGAATGTTGCAAGGTAGGAGAAGCAGTCCCCTTCACCTGTCCCAACCATTTCCTCCAAGCCTCCACAACAATAGCTTTTTGTCTAGCAAGTGACATCTGTGGAAAAACAGTCTGCTTCCCATGACATCATGAAGCTGATGATGGTAAGATCTGTTCTACTTTTCCCCCTGGGGGGCAGTCTTCCCACACCCTCCTTTCCCAGTTTTCCATCAGCTCTGCATCAGGAGCTGTCTGTCCCTGTGTTCAACTCACCTTCATTGACTTCATCGCTCTCTTTATCGATCTGGGCTTGCAGTACATATCTTTTAATGAGCCTCTTCATTATTTTCTAGACAGAGAAAGGAGAAATCTATCTCATTATTAAGTTCATGACCAATCTTTCATTTGGAATATATTTCCAAAGCTTAGTCCCTTCAGTAAGCATTTTGGAAGCAAATATCAATGATTGATGTGTCAGGGAACACATAATATCTCCAAATTTTGTTTTTCTTTTGGAAATAATTCTCACAGCACCTGAAATAATGACTGAAAAGTTAATTCTTGAGAAAAATGAGTTTGAAATAAGCATCTAGTTCTTTATTTACATTGTTATATTTTATTTGAAAAGTACTGGAGCCAAACTTAGCCTTTCTGTTGGGCAGGTTAAAGACCACAGTATTGCATGTGCAAAGGGGGAATTAAGCAAATGTCCAGTTGTTTATGTCTCCACCCCACTCCACAAAGACCTGTAGCTAGGGTTGACTTTATATTTGTTTTTTAATGAGGAATAGCAAATTTCAATGTGATAAAGTTTTTCCAGTTTTGGTTTGTATCATACAGATATTGCTTTTATTGTTTACTTTGTATGAAAATCAGGAGTCTCAGAATGTTT